TCTTCAGTGAAAAGTAAGCTCTGCTTTAAAGCCAGAAATTAGCATGATGCTTAGGCTTTGCAGTGCTGTGGCTTAAAGATAAACCCACAGTATAATTCTTACTTCATAAATATATCTGGAAGGAAAAAAGGGAGAAACAATTTTTATGTAGATGATAATGAAGTTGTGAGATGTAAGTAATGATATCTATACATCAATTAATAAAATAATGAAATAAGATTTAAAACTTTAACTACCTCTTAAAAACCTGTTTGAGGGGAGAGGATATAGCTGCTCAGAGAGAACCGTGATGTGTTTATCCTTTAAATATATTTGTAGCATTGAGAGGTCATACACTGAGAAAATATTAGGATTGTAAAATAGCAAATAGTTTTGGATTTTGAGGTCATAGCAATTGGAGAGATCAATACAATAGGAAAGGCATTACAACAGAGATGTGATGGCAGCAGGACCAGCATAACAGGAAGGTGCTATGAAGGAAAAGAACAAGATTGCTCACCTGTAGCAGAAGACTGCAGGTTTGCAGGGGAAAACTCCACTAGGAAGAGATCTCTAGAGAGAAATCCTCCCCCACTGGCAGTCAGCCCTTAAATGAGGTCTAAGAGAGGTGCAGCCAGGCTCCAGTCACACAGCTGAACTGCCTTCACCTGTGCTGCCAGGGCTGATCAGGTCCTTTCCCCAGGTGCTCAGTCAGGGGTTCATGCTGTGACTCAACCGTTCCCATATAGAGATGTATAGGTCTTAAGTACTTTTTGGTTGACTATAACATTATATTTTTTTCTTGAGTAGAACTTGACACATATATTTTATGGTTTTCTCCTATGAAAGATGCTACCTTGAATTACCTTGATGGTAATGGAAAGACGTGCCAAGACATTAAGCTCTTGCTTTCTTTCTCTCTGTAAGAAGACACTTACGGAAACTAAGCTGTTTTATCTGATATATGGTGGATTATCTTTCGCAGCTAGATAAGTGGGAATAAGTTGAGAAGGAATAAATGACTGTTGCTGTTGATGTATGAAACAGATGGAAAACAGATTTTTGTTAAGCTGATTCTGTAAAATGGAGCGTAGCAAAGGAATTTGAATGTTGAAGTATGTTTGCTGTTTCACTGTGACACAGAAGCACATATTAGAGCACGCTGACATGTGTGTTATTTGTGTATTCATAGGAGAGATTTATCCTGTATGGAGATAGTTATTGGAAACCCCAGGAACAGAAATCTTAAAAATATTATTTTCTGTATTGCTGGATTGAGATAGATAACTATACATTCTTGTTTTCAAAACATGAAATCAGCCAAAGATTTTCAATTAGGATCAGGGAAAGATCCTAAAATCCTAAAATTAACGTTGAGGTGCAACAGAGATGTCATATAATGCAATTTTTGTCTGACATAGATTAAGAATTGTGTTTTGACAAGCATTCTATAAAAATGAGAATACCTATGAGAAATATTAAGGCTCATAGCAGAACTTTGAAAGAACATGTAACAGTATACTGATTTGATTTAATTTTACTGTGAATAGATATGCAGAAACTTGGTCATATAGGGATATTAATCAGTAAACAACTTTCAGTATATCCATATGAATAAAGTAGTTCAATTTCAGGTTGTAATTTTCTCTTGGTTTCTCAAAATAGGTGCTGAAGACTAGTATGGAAATTTAAATTTGATTGTTATTTTTGATACTAAAGACGTCTATTTAAATACAAAATTGATTTGAAAATGAGGAAATCCTTTTTTCCTCAAGTCACAGTGATTTGCTGCTGATACAGAAAATTCTTTGTGCCATGTAAAAACCAAAACAAAATGTATCTTAATGTCTTAAATTCTGTTAAGTGTTTACGTGACAAGGACTTCTGTAAGTAAGTCAATGACAGCTCTTTTCATGAGTTCTTTATACTAGTTCAGTAAGAATAGACAGTAATCATCATCATGTACCACTATGATTTATGTGTACTACGAGAGTCATCATACCTATACAAAATGATTTCATGCATTTTAAGGACAAATCAATACTTCTTGGTGAAGCACTTCAGTCTTTAACAGTGTTAAGTTTGAGTTTCCTGTACCACTGTTGTCATATCTATAAGGGTAGGCATCTCTTTAAAAAGCTTCCTAGGATCATGGTTCTCCATCACTTATTTTCAAGTCACCCATAGATTTAGTTTTACACCTTTTATAAAAATAAACGCTTCACGCTGGATAGTTTGATGTCTGTGTCATTACCATAAAAAGCACAAATGAATTACAAATACCAGAACACAACTGGTGCTGTTGACTGTTTCTTGGTCAGTCTCTATAGCCAGGGCATGCATCTTTCTTTATGTGCAATCCATGCAATAGGGGATGTGGATACAAATGAGTGCCAAATCAGAATGCTCCTAGAAATGTATGGATTTGATGTGGAGACCATGGAAATGCTCTCACAGTGCTCAGATACTGTAAGCACGTGGAAGGGTGGTGTTTCTCACCAACTCAAAAAAAAAAAAAAAAAAAAAAAAAA